CTGTTTTGTTTTTAAACTCTCTTTCCCTCTCCACATCCCTTGTTTTCTGGTCTTTACCGTATTAAAAAACAAAACAGTTCAGGGAGGGCTCTTGGGCTGAGCGTATCTGTTTGCATGTGTGGCAGAAAAACCCAGTAGTGGTGAGGGTGGGAATGTCCACTCATTCAGGCACCCCTTCTAGTCACCAGAATAGAGGTGCACAAACAGTGGGGGGGGGGCAATGAACATATACCCCCCCCAAAAGAAAATCAGAACAAAGCAAAACTGTCAAAGTGTATTGTCTACCTTTGCTCTGAGGTTCCCATGGTGTTTTCCCATGGTGTGTCTGCTCTCCTGCTTGGTCTTGCCATTTGATCTCACCCATGTTGTCAGCTTCGGGCCTCCGAGCCTGGCAGTTTCTAAAATACATGGTTTCTTACTTTCTCTACAAGTTTCACTAGCTATAAGCCTTCAAACTTTAAAAATATTCCTACCTATGTGATTCCAAGTTTTGGAGCTCTACCCTGAATCTGCTTTGCCTGGTATTCTGTGGTACTGCTCATAACCTTTTATTTTTAAGGAGTATCTTTAAGTTGTTGTTGTTGTTGTTAAGTGTGGTAACATTGGTTTTTATTCATAAGTAATCTTGTATAGGGTTTCCAAGGAGTAACTGCTAGGTTTGAACTACTGACTTTGTGGTTAGCAGATCAGTATTTATCCTACAACACCACACCAGGATTCCTATTTTTAAGTAGCAAAATGAAACTATGCCTCTTTAAACATGCCTGGCAGTAGGAATAAGACCCTTGAGGTATCCTGGTGGGGAAAAAAAAAAAAAAAAAAAGAATTAGCAGGGATAGGTAGAAAGAGAAGAAAGCAAGCATTGAAGAACCATTGTAATGTCTAGACTAATTTTATAACCCAGTTTGAAACAAACTCTGATAACTTTTATTGTTATTGTTAAGTGCACCAAGTCAGTTCTTACTCATAGCCACTCTGTATAGAGTTTACAAGGAGCAGCTGGTGGGTTTGAACTGTCTATCTTGTGGTTCGCAGTCCATTGCTGATCCTACAGCACTATACCAGGAGTACATACTTTATATTGTTGTTGTTGAGTACTGTCGAGTCAATTCCGACTCATAGCAACACTATGTAGGGTTTCTGAGGAACAGTTGGTGGGTTTGAACTGCCTACCTTGAAGCTCAAACTGAGCTTGCAGTCCAGCGCATTATCCTGCAGCACCTCACCACGACTCCATGCCTTACATTGTTGTTGTTAAGTGCCACTGAGTCAGTTCTGACCCATAGCGACCTTGCTTAGGGTTTCCCAGGAACAGCTGGTGATCTTGAACCACCAACCTTGTGGTTCAAAACGACTTTGCAGTCCAGCACATGAACCCACAGTGTCACACTAGAACTCCATACCTTATATTGTTGTTGGTGTTAGATGCCATCGAGTAGGTACCGACCCATAACAACTTTATGCACAGCAGAACGAAACACTGCCCAATCCTGGGCCAACCTCACTACTGATTGAGTCCATCGATGCTGCCACTTGGCCAATCCATCTCGTTGGGGGTTTTCCTCTTTTTCTCTGACCCTCCACCTTACCAAACATGATATCCTTCTCCAGTGACTGGTCCTTCCTGACAGTATG